CTGTGGTAGCTTCTCAATTGACAAATGATTTTCCAGACGAGGCTCATAATTCAAGCATCTGATCCAAACCATTTCCGCTTCAGGTAATATAATTAGCAGCATATTTTCCTTAAGTTACAATTTTTGGTACAAATTTACTTATATCCTCTTATCTTGTGTGCAATAATAGTTGGACTTTAAATGAGTTATCCCAACATGCCTCCCTGTTCAAATTCTCCACCAATTGGAACACCAATGATGCTATGGTGAAATAAATAAGTAAACCAATAACAAAGAAGAAAATACCATAATTGAGTTCATGTATGGTAAATACTAAAAAATTTAACATTTTTCCGATTTTTTTTTTTTAAATAAATTTTTATCAAAATTTTTATTTTTAGGTTAAAAAAAAAAGGACCTAATTTAAAGTAAAATTCATTCATAAAAAATCTATGTACAAGATCAAGATAGAATGGTTTTATAGGGTAAGGAATTTCACTCTCCATTTATGCTAGTCCAAAAGGAAAAAAAAAATAAAAATCAAGAGTGAAGAGCTAACAGTGGAGTGTAAATTTCATTATTATTTTTGTATGCAAAATGTGGACTGGCTTGTTGGACCATGTGTGAAGTAAAGTTCTACACCAGGTAAAAACAAAATGGTAGATCTCAATATATATATATATATATATATTTTGAACAGGGAAAAAAACTTTATTGATAATAGTCAAGAAAGATACATCAATAAAGAAAGGAGGGACAAAGCATCAATACTAACTCTATAACTCTAACTTGGTTGGCACCATAGAGCTTGCAAGATCATATGTGTGACGATTGAGTTCTTTTTCCCTTTTTCTTTCTTTCTTTTTCGCTTCCTTCCCCATTGATCTTCGTTGAAATTGAAATGACCAGAAATAGTTCTCTAAATAGAGTCCCTGTTTTTGTTTTGTTTAGTGTCAATTTTTCATTAGTTTCGTAGAGCGTCGGATCAGGTCCGGAGTGGCCGAGAGTCAAACAAAAAATTTTTTTGGACTGCTTGGCTGGCTGCATGTGCGGGGACCTAGGGCCGCATGTGCGGGAGGTTGTGGCCGCACGTGCAAAATTCAGGGGATTGTTTGGCTTGCATACTATTATATATGCACGAGTAGAGTGAGGTGCAGGAGAGGTGCCTCGCACGTGCGGGGGTGAAGGCCGCACGTGCAGGAGGGACGCTCCGCACGTGTGGGGATGGGCGCTGCACGTGCGGTCGGCCTGAGTTCGAAAATCTGTATTTTTGTATCATTTTGGCCGAGTTGTATCTCATTTTAGGGCTTCACACTCTCACTCTAAAGACCATTTTTCCTCCTCCTTCTCTCTAGAAACCCTCATCAAAACCCTCAAAACTCTTTAATTCTTGTAATCTATTGGGTCCAAATTCATCATCATCCCGCTCAAAGCTTTGGACATCCAAGCTAGAGTTCTTCTTGGGGTAGTGGAAGAGTGAAGGATCCTCCATTATAGCTAGGGTTTCATCATCTCCTTCATCAAGCTTGAGGTACGGATTTCTTGAGTTATATATGCATGTTTTTCTTTATTGTTGCTAATTTAAAAGCTCTCTTGGAGTTATTGTGATGATTTTGTTTTTTCTCCATATGTAAAGAAAGTTTTGAGGAGATGGGTTTTGATCTCACTCGTCCTTCTAGCTATAAGGTAGTTCTTTTAAAAACACATAAGAAAATATGATTTTTGTTGGGTTTCATCATTAAATAAGAGGTGTTTGTTTTTGTTGAAAAACCCTAGAAATTGGGGATTTTGGAAAATGATATGGAGACATCCATGGAATTCTTCCTCCTTTGATTTAAATGACAAATTAATGTAGAATTTGTAAGGGAGTTTGTATGAATGAAAATCTTATTGATGTGTCAATAATGGAGGATTTGTTTTACAAAACTATTGTTAGATATATGATGAGGTATGATTGTGAGATGACAACAGGTTATGCACTATGGCAGTGTGAAAATTATAAACATTGAGAACAGGAAAAAAAACTTTATTGATAATAATCAAGAAAGATACATCAATAAAGAAAGGAGGGAGCACAAAGCATCAATACTAACTCCATAACTCTAACTTGGTTGGCACCATAGAGCTTGCAAGATCATATGTGTGACGATTGAGTTCTTTTTCCCTTTTTCTTTCTTTCTTTTTCGCTTCCTTCCCCATTGATCTTCGTTGAAATTGAAATGACCAGAAATAGTTCTCTAAATAGAGTCCCTGTTTTTGTTTTGTTTAGTGTCAATTTTTCATTAGTTTCGTAGAGCGTCGGATCAGGTCCGGAGTGGCCGAGAGTCAAACAAAAAATTTTTTTGGACTGCTTGGCTGGCTGCATGTGCGGGGACCTAGGGCCGCATGTGCGGGAGGTTGTGGCCGCACGTGCAAAATTCAGGGGATTGTTTGGCTTGCATACTATTATATATGCACGAGTAGAGTGAGGTGCAGGAGAGGTGCCTCGCACGTGCGGGGGTGAAGGCCGCACGTGCAGGAGGGACGCTCCGCACGTGCGGCGATGGGCGCTGCACGTGCGGTCGGCCTGAGTTCAAAAATCTGTATTTTTGTATCATTTTGGCCGAGTTGTATCTCATTTTAGGGCTTCACACTCTCACTCTAAAGACCATTTTTCCTCATCCTTCTCTCTAGAAACCCTCATCAAAACCCTCAAAACTCTTTATTTCTTGTAATCTATTGGGTCCAAATTCATCATCATCCCTGTCAAAGCTTTGGACATCCAAGCTAGAGTTCTTCTTGGGGTAGTGGAAGAGTGAAGGATCCTCCATTATAGCTAGGGTTTCATCATCTCCTTCATCAAGCTTGAGGTACGGATTTCTTGAGTTATATATACATGTTTTTCTTTATTGTTGCTAATTTAAAAGCTCTCTTGGAGTTATTGTGATGATTTTTATTTTCTCCAAATGTAAAGAAGGTTTTGAGGAGATGGGTTTTGATATCACTCGTCCTTCTAGCTATGAGGTTGTTCTTTTAAAAACACATAAGAAAATATGATTTTTGTTGGGTTTCATCATTAAATATAAGGTGCTTGGTTTTATTGAAAAACCCTAGAAACTGGGGATTTTGGAAAATGATATGGAGACATCCATGGAATTCTTCCTTCTTTGATTTAAATGACAAATTGATGTAGAATTTGTAAGGGAGTTTGTATGAATGAAAATCTTATTGATGTGTCAATAATGGAGGATTTGTTTTACAAAACTATTGTTAGATATATGATGAGGTATGATTGTGAGATGACAACAGGTTATGCACTATGGCAGTGTGAAAATTATAAACATTGAGAATTTGTGCTTGAAAATATTACATGTAAACTAGAAGAGGCTATCTTAGTGAAAGTTGGGCATGATGAGGATTGATTGTTGCTATGTGTTGATAGCATGGTTACCTTGTGAAATCGATATTGTTACAGAGATAGTTGGAAATAGAGTAGTACTATGAAGTATGGGAAAGATCATTGCATTGCACACTCTTTCATTCATTAATTATGCATTGTAAACTCTAAATTGAAGACACTTACTTGTGAAAGGGAATGATATTGTAATAATAACTTTGGAAATGTGTATGTAGCAAATACGGTGGTAAGTCCGGATAGGGGGTGTAGATGATGCGATAAGTTGGCCTGAGTGTCCATGGTGAAAGACCAGAAAATCGCGGATAGGTGTTGAGCCTTCCGGTTAATACCGGTAAAAATGACCATTGGGTAGGTAGTACTTGTAGAGTCTACTTCCAGACACCAACCTAGGGATTACCAAGGTCATATTTATCGCCCCTATTGGTTAAAATTGAAAGTTTTGAAATGAGTTGCGATTGTAAGCTTGTATTGAAAATGGAAATCTTCAAGAAGAGTACGAAATGAATTTTCTTTAAAATAACATGTCATGGCATGGACATTTGCACTTTTATTGAGAATTGCATAACTGTATATACTTTGTGAGAATTATCTATTGGGCTTTATGCTCACCCCTATGGGATTTGGTGCAGGTAAAGATGTGGTGATCCCGCCGAACTGAGGACATGGATATTTTTTAGATGAGTAAATAGCTCTTTTGTTTTTGTTGTAATTCTTTTTGTAAGCCAAGGGCTAATGTGTATGGGTCCAAGAGGCCATTTTGTGTAACTGGGCTATTGCCTTGAAAGATGTAAGCCCTTAAGGGCATGTTGTTGTTTTAAGACCAGGTGCTTCACGTGCTATAGATTCATACGTATTTCTATCATTGAATGTATATCCACATGTGAAACTTTTGTATAAACTCTGTTATTAATTATGTAAAGATGGGAAGTTTGTTGCCATGGTGTAGTGAATGTTGATTGTTGTGGGTAGTTCATGTTAAATTATTTCGGGCGTTACAACTTGGTATCAAAGCTACCGGGTTTGAATACTTGGGGCTCGCGGGAAGTGGTTGTTGTACCACACTGGGTTCATTTCGCATGATTAGGAAATGTTTAGCTTTGTGATTATGTGATAGCATGCTTATGCGACTATATGGGTATGGGATTGGACTTTGGGGATGTTGTTTGCACCTATTAGATTCCTTGAGGTCTTATTAGAAGGGTACCTGATCAATACTCATTCTACTAAGAATTCTTGGGTTCTCATGGGACGAATCCCATCACTAAAGGATAATTCACATGTGTTTATGTAACTAAGTGCTTATGTGGAGTGAATTAAATTATTTGTGTGATAAGGTGTATGGAATTGCTATAGTTTAACATATGAGGCAAGTTGCAAGCACATTTGGAATTATGGGCTAAATTATCTATCTTGTTCTTCAACTAGGATGGTGGAAAGGATTCAAAACTGAGGTGGTAGCGGTGCAAGGCGAGGCCGAGGTCGCAGGGGTGTGCACGGAGCATCGGTTCATGAGATACCGGCGCAAGAAGAGGGTGTAGGCCAAGCAAACATGGCCGAACAAGTAGGGCAAGCGGAGGTGCCAAGGCAAGCCGGCCAAGCCACAATGGGGGCTCTAGCCTGGGAGATGGCGGGGGCATTAAGGGAGTCCATGAACATACTTAGGGTGGAGACCCAAGCTAGGGAGAATGTTGCGGAGACAAGGGCGAGCTTCCTCATGAGGGAGTTTTTGCGGGCCAAGCCGGATGAATTCCTTGGCGGCCTCGAGCCAAAGAAAGGAGAGGAATGGCTTGAACGGACCGTGAAGACCTTCGAAATGCTTCACATCGAGGATGGTGAGTTGAGGGTGACCCTTGCTAGCTACTATCTCAAGGGTGACGCAGGCCAGTGGTGGAAGTATGCCAAAGGCCGAATTGAACCAGCACGAGAGGCATTTGTGGCGGCCTTCCAAGACAAGTGTCAACCTCCCACTGCTAGAGAGAGGTTGAGGTTGGAATTTAAGGACCTTAAGCAACTAAATACATCTGTGGTCGAATTTGAAGCGGCCTTTTCTAGTTTTTCCCGGCTTGCACCAGAATTGGTAGCGACGGAGGAGCGCCGTTGCTTTGAGTTCGAGCAAAGGTTGAGGACGAAGATTTTGGTCAAAGTTGCCGGCAACATGATCTGGAATTATGATCGCCTTGTGAAGGCAGCCGCTCATGTGGAAATTATTATGGAGGCCAAGGAGGAGAGACTTCGGAATTCGAGGTCTAGGGGCCAAGGGTCACAGGGGGACTTTAGGCCCAACAAGAAGAGTAGAAGCACCTTTTTATCCCAGTCTCAATCGCAACAGTCTAGATCTACTTTTCCCTTGCCTAGTGCAGGCTCGGGAAAGAGTGCACCGAGTGGGTTTTCTTGTTTCAAGTGTGGCCAACCGGGTCACAAGGCTTTTGAATGTCCACAGAAGGGCGGAGGACAACAAATGTTGCCGCCACCGCCACCACCACCTAACCGATCTCAGAGCCAATCTCACAGGAGGAGTTAGGGGCCTACTTGCCATCAGGGCAATCAGTTAGGGCACATGAAGAAAGCTTGCCTGCAGTTGGGAGGCGCATCTGGCGCATCGAGGTCGAGGTAGACTCAGAGCCACCAGCAGGCTCACTCAGCTCAGACTTCACGAGTTCATCAAGGAGCTGCTTTGGCTCAGTCTGTACAGCAGGCCTATGCTCCGAGGTACGAGCAGGTTGATTAGAGGCCACAGGGGCACGTGTACGCTGTTACCGCGCCAGAGCAGTTGCTAGGACCCTTGGTTATGAGAGTTATTTTTATTGTGTGTAATTCTTTGGCCAGTGTGTTGATAGATACGGGTGCGTCCCATTCATTCATATCTGCTGCATTCGCATCTGTATTGGGGCTAGAGGTGAAATAGTTAGCATCTCCGCTCAGGGTAGAGTCACCAGTTGGGGGTACAGTGGACTTAGATCAGGGGTGCCGTGACTGTGAGATAGAGGTTGCCTGGTGTAGACTCCCGTCTGGTTTTGTGTTGCTAGACATATCGAGTTTCGACATCATTCTAGGCATGGATTAGTTGTCTTTGTATCGGGCAGTGATTGATTGTTTTCATTAGAGGGTCACAGTGTGCTCCTCGAGTGGAGATTGTTTTTACTTTCTGGAAGACAGGGTTGATCGGTTCTTGTCGCCGGTATTTGATCCTCGTAGTAGGAACGAGCTTAGTGGCCTTCTTGCTACTCTTTTGGATGATGAGAGTGGCGGGACTCGAGTTGGGTTGTCAAGGGTAGTCAGACGTGTTTCCTTCGAACGTGTGTCCTTCGGACCTTACTAGTTTGCCACCCCACCGGGAGATTGAGTTCACCATCGACTTAGTGCCTAGAATGGCACCAATTTTTCTGGCACCGTATAGATTTGCACCCGCGAAATTGCACGAGTTGAAGATTCACCTCCAAGAGCTTCTAGACAAGTGCTTCATTCGCCCTAGTACATCACCTTGGGGAGCGCCAACTCTCTTTGCGAAGAAGAAGGATGGGTCACTACGGTTGTGCATCAACTATTGCAAGTTGAATCGAGTTACCGTTAAGAACAAATACCCTTTACCTAGAATAGACGACTTGTTTGATCAACTTAGAGGATCTTGTTGCTTTTCGAAGATAGATTTGAGGTCGGGGTACCATCAGTTGAGAGTCCGAGAGGAGGACATCCAGAAAATGGCCTTTCGTACACGTTATGGCCACTATGAGTTCCTTGTAATGCCATTTGGGTTGACTAATGTACCGGCTTCCTTCATGGATTTGATGAACCGAATTTTTAGGGAGTACTTGGATCACTTTGTGGTCGTCTTTGTGGACGACATTCTAATTTATTTGACTTTCGAGGAGGAACATGAGGCTCACTTGAGGGTAGTGCTTGACTTGCTTAGGAAACATCAGTTGTATGCTAAATTTCAGAAGTACGAGTTTTGGCTCACCAAGGTGAAGTTTTTGGACCATGTAGTGTCAAGTGAGGGAGTAACTGTAGATTCTTCGAAGATAGACTCTGTATAAGATTGGGAGCAACCTAAGAATGTTTTTGGAGATTCGAAGTTTCTTGGGATTGGCAGGGTACTACCGGCGTTTTGTGAGGGACTTTTCTAGATTAGCCGCACCTTTGACTAGGTTGACTAGAAAGGAGGTAAAGTTTGTATGGAGTGAGGCTTGTGAAAAGTCTTTCCAAGAGCTCAAAACCAAGTTTACCATGACACCGGTGCTGATCATTCTGGAGAGAGGTTTGGGTTACACCGTCTTTTGTGATGCGTTTCGAGATGGACTTGGGTTTGTTTTGATGTAAGAGGGGAAGGTTGTAGCTTACAGCTCATGGCAATTGAAAACACATGAGAAGAATTACCCTACCCACGACTTAGAGCTAGCCGCAACAATGTTTGCCTTGAAAATTTGGAGGCATTACTTGTATGGTGAGAACTTTGAGGTTTTCTCTGACCATAAGAGCTTGAAGTACTTGTTTTCTCAAAAAGACTTGAATCTACGTCAACAAAGGTGGATGGAGTTTTTAGAAGACTACGATTTTGAGTTACACTATCACCCGGGGAAGGCCAATGTAGTGGCCGACGCCTTAAGCTGAAAAATCGTGAGTAGCTTGGCGAGTGTGGCCATTCGGGAATGGGTTATGTTGGGTGAAGTCAGCAGGTTTGAGTTGTAATTGGGTGAGTCCGAAGAGGGTTCAACATTGTTCCCCCTAGGTGCTCAACCTACCTTGATTAGAAAAGTTGTAGAAACACAATGGGGAGACCACAAAGTAGAGTTAATTCGTGATAGAATCTCTAATGGGAAGGAAGAGAAGGCAATGAACATTCACTCGGATCAGAGTGTACGTTACCTAGACCACCTGTTTACGCCTGAATCTTGTAGAGAAGAAGTGCTCCGGGAGTTCTATCATTCACGCCTTGCGGTACATCCGGGAGGCAGCAAAATGTATCGAGACCTTAGCCGTCAATTTTGGTGGAGGGGTATGATGCGAGGTGTCATATCCTTTGTGTCCAAGTGCCTTACTTGTCAACAAGTGAAGGTTGAATATCAGAGAGCAGCGGGTTTGTTACAACCCTTACCTATAGCCGAGTGGAAGTGGGAGCGCGTTACCATGGACTTCGTAGTTGGACTTCCTAGAACACAGTAGGGTGATTATGCCATTTGGGTAATTGTTGATAGGTTGACTACGTCCACACACTTCATTCCAATGCGTACTAGCGACTCAATTGAGCATTTGGCAGAATTGTACGTGAAGGAGATAGTTCAACTTCACGGGGTTCTGGTAACCATTGTGTCATATAGAGATCCTCGTTTTACCGCCCGGTTGTGGCAAAGCCTTCAAGAGGCGTTAGAAACCAAGTTGACCTTCAGCACCACTTATCACCCTCAAACCGACGGGCAGTCAGAGCGTACCATCCAAATCTTGGAGGACATGCTTAGAGCTTGTGTCCTAGATTTGAAGGGGTCTTGGGAAAGGCACTTACCATTGATTGAATTCGCCTACAACAATAGTTATCAGGCTAGCATCGAGATGGCATCATTTGAGGCCTTGTATGGCCAACCTTGTAGATCGCCAGTTTGTTGGGCCGAGGCGGGGGATGCACCGTTGTTGGGTCTGAAGATTGTTAGGGAGACAACCGAGAAGGTTTCCCTCATTCGCAAAAGATTAGCTACGGCTCAAAGATGATAGAAAAGCTATGCCGATAGGAGGAGACGACCATTGTCCTTCGAAGTGGGTGATCATGTGTTTCTTAAGATCTCACCTAGGCGGAGTCTAATGAGGTTTGGCAAGAGTGGAAAGTTGTCACCGAGGTTTATTAGGCCTTTTGAGATATTTGAGAGAATCGGGAAAATAGCCTATCGGTTGGCTTTACCGCCACAACTTTCGGGGGTCCACAATGTGTTTCATGTGTCAATGCTTAGGAAGTACGAACTTGACCCTTCTCATGTGTTAGATTGGGTTGATTTGGAGGTGGATGATGATGCCTCCTACAAAGAGCGGCCGGTTCAAATCCTAGATACCCGGGAACAAGTGTTGCGAGGTAAGACCATACCATTAGTGAAGGTGTTGTGGAGACAACACGGGGTCAAGGAAGCGACGTGGGAAAAGGAAGCGGAGGTTCGCTCCAAGTATCCGGACTTATTTGATCATGTTTAGTTGTTTGTTCTAAATTTGTAATGTTTCCTTGTGTTAAAGGGAAAATGGTTGAATTGTTGATTACATGTTGTAGTGTGTGTTGTTGAATGGAGCTAGATGTATTGGAAGGATGATGTTTTGTTATAAATGTCTTCATTTATTTTCTAGCTTGGTGGTTGAGTCTTGTTAGAATGATGAGAAGGAAAAATGATAGATGCTGGTTGAAACCAGGTAATGTTGTTAAAAGTGGTTATAATTGTTGGAATACTCTATTTGGTGAGTTTACTTGATTTTGGGAAGTTTATTCAAATTTCGGGGACGAAATTTCTTATGGTGGGGAGGTTATGACGACTGGGTTCTTTTTCCCTTCCTCTTTCTTTCTTTTTTGCTTCATTTCCCTTTGATCTTCGTTGAAATTGAAATGACCGAAAATAGTTCTCTAAACAGAGTCCCTATTTTTGTTTTGTTTAGTGTCGATTTTTCATTAGTTCCGTAGAGCGTGGGATCAGGTCCGGAGTGGCCGGGAGTCGAACAAGAAATTTTTTTCGACTGGTTGGCAGGCCGCATATGCGGGGTCCTAAGGCCGCATGTGCGGGATAGGGCCGCACGTGCGGAATTCAGGGGATTGTTTGGCTTGCATATTGTTATATATGCACGAGCGGAGTGAGGTGCATGAGAGGAGCCCCGCACGTGCGGGGGTGAAGGCCGCACGTGCGAGAGGGACGCTCCACACATGCGGTCGGCCTGAGTCCAAAAATCTGTATTTTTGTATCATTTTGGCCGAGTTGTATCTCATTTTAGGGCTTCACACTCTCACTCTAAAGACCATTTTTACTCCTCCTTCTCTCTAGAAACCCTTATCAAAACCCTAAAACTCTTTAATTTTTGTAATCTATTGGGTCCAAATTCATCATCATCCCTCTCAAAGCTTTGGAGATCTAAGCTAGAGTTCTTCTTGGGGAAGTGGAAGAGTGAAGGATCCTCCATTAAAGCTAGGGTTTCATTATCTCCTTCATCAATCTTGAGGTACGGATTTCTTGAGTTATATATACATGTTTTGCTTTATTGTTGATAATTTAAAAGATCTCTTGGAGTTATTGTGATGATTTTGTTTTTTCTCCAAATGTAAAGAAAGTTTTGAGGAGATGGGTTTTGTTCTCACTCCTCCTTCTAGCAATGAGGTTGTTCTTTCAAAAACACAGAAGAAAATATGATTTTTGTTGGGTTTCATCATGAAATAAGAGGTGCCTGCTTTTGTTGAAAAAGCCTAGAAATTGGGGATTTTGGAAAATGGTATGGAGACATCCATGGAATTCTTCCTCCTTTGGTTTAACTGACAAATTGATATAGAATTTGTAAGGGAGTTTGTAT